ATTTTTTTGTATATTTTTGTTTGAAGATGATTTTGTAAATTAATCATTTTATTTATTTTGAATTTTTGACGCCAAATGTTTATTTGTTATTTCTTGTGATAATTTTCTAATTTCTTAAAAAAAAATTAAATTTTTTTTTTTTATCATCTTAGTCGTCATCTAAAAAAGTCACAAAGTTCATTATTTTCTATTAAATCTTTACTTTTATTGTAAATCCACCATAATACATAATTTCAACTAATAAAGTATAATATATATAGTATTTTCTATTGCATAATCTATTTCGTTTTAAAAAATTATTGTTTCGTCATATTATTTTATGTCTTTATATATTTTTATTTATATATTACTTGATAAGTTATGTTTCCACCAGAATATCACTTCAGATTTCAAACAAATTTTTTTCTATAAAAAAATTACGTTTTGTTGTGTTCGAGTAATATCGTTGTCTTAAGTATAATTCACAATAAATTATTCATTCTTTCTATTATTTTTTTGTTTTTCCTATTAATATTTCTATTTCAGTATTTTATTCTTATTTTCACATTGTGTTTTATTTAAAAATTTTGGTTTTATTTTATTTTTTTGTATATTTTTGTTTGAAGATGATTTTGTAAATTAATCATTTTATTTATTTTGAATTTTTGACGCCAAATGTTTATTTGTTATTTCTTGTGATAATTTTCTAATTTCTTAAAAAAAAATTAAATTTTTTTTTTTATCATCTTAGTCGTCATCTAAAAAAGTCACAAAGTTCATTATTTTCTATTAAATCTTTACTTTTATTGTAAATCCACGATAATACATAATTTCAACTAATAAAGTATAATATATACAGTATTTTCTATTGCATAATCTATTTCGTTTTTTAAAATTATAGTTTCGTCATATTATTTTATGTCTTTATATATTTTTATTTATATATTACTTGATAAGTTATGTTTCCATATAGATCTTAGATAAATTATTTCGTAAGCTAAGTTTCCATATATTTCAAGCATATTTTATTCTATCAAGTAAATATAACAATTTTTGTGATTAAATATATATTATTGTCTCAACTATAAAACACAATAAATTATTATAATTGATGTAACATGTTTCTTAAAAATAAATTCTTAATATAATTAACATTCAATACAAAAGGAATAAAAACTATGCAATAGCGCAATGCCCAAGTATCAATTTTATTATAGTAAAATATTTTTTCTTAGTTGTAAATGAAGTTCAGTATTGTGGTGGCATTTATCTTACGCTTAAGTTTTATTTAGTTGGAATTTTTCATTTTATAATCAATATTTAAACTAAAGTTGTATTCAGTTTTCAGTGAAACAGAATTTGCAACGGTTTTTCTTAGAGCAAAGATAGTTAGAATTCTCTCTCTCTCTCATATTCATCTTCTCCATTTTTGTACATTAATAATTGATATATAAAACTCTGATTCTAATTTAGGAAAGGGAAACACGGGTGTACGTAAGTTGTGTGATTGATTTTATTTCTGAAATTCACATTGAATTAAAGTTCGAAATCAAACAGAATCACTTTTATTTATTTAGATGGATTGGGAAATACGAAGATCAAAGATGCAAACGGTAGCTTGAACACAAAACTTCTAGTATTTGTTGAAAAGAACCGGAATTAGTGGATGATTCAGATGTTTGTGTTGATTGGAGCTTAATATGTTATTCATCTTGTCAATGACAGTCACATGCCAGTTGCAACAGATGCAACAGAAGTGCAAAGAAACGCGCAAAGAGAAATGAGGAAGAAAGATCAGAAAATATTGTTTTATATCTGTCAATGTGTGGATATGCGTGTGTTTGGGAAGATTGTTGACACCACAATGATGAAGACGACATGTGATACACTAGTGTAGTCGCATCAGTGAAGAAGGTGAAGTTGCAATCCCTGCGTAAGCAATATGAGAATTTTCAGCATGAAGGACTATGAAAAGGTACTAGATAATATCTCCAGAGTTATTGTGGTCACTAAAGAGATGAAGTCTTATAGAGAACTGCTCTCAGAACAAGTTATTATTGTGAAGGTACTGAGATCTCTTACTCATATCTTTGATTAAACAGTTGTAGCTAGTGAACATTTTAAAGACACCACCATTATGAGAATTGAAGAACTTCAGAGTAGTTTAGAGGCTCAAGAGTTGCGTTTGGCTGGGAGGAATTCTGAAAGTGAGTCTGAGTATGATCTGAAAGCTTCATCACGTGTTAAACACAACACCCACTGTATCACCTCGGTGGCGATCTCTCAACCAACCTCAACAACACATAAGTCAATTGCGTTAACAATCTCTTAATCAACACAACCAACACAGAGACATTAACTATAGACACCCAAGTGAATTCTAGCTCTAAATATATCTCTAAAATCTAGAAACAAACAGACTATCATCCCAGATAAGAATTAGAGAAATATATGTCTATAACAATCCAAATCCCTAGCACAGAGAAAAAAATCAAGGATAAAAATCCAAAAAGATTTGTAAAGCAAATTAAATATAACGCCATGAGCGAAAAATATACATAAGATCAAAGTAAATACATATACAAACTCAACATACAAAGAATACCCAAAGAAGAAGAGAAATGAACCACAAATCTCTCAGTTTGTCGGTGCCGATTAAAGACCAATCCACCCTCGACTATCCGTATGCAAGCTTTGATGTTGTTTTCTTAAATAAACCTAGAGAAAAATGAGAGTTGATGGAGTTGGGATCAAAAAATATCCCCAAAACCATAACCAAACAAAATGAAATGAAAAATGAAATATAAAGAAAATAAGGTCTGCACACGTCACCCAGCGACATAAAAGCCTCTTCCACCGACGATTCCTAATCATAAGGCCCAAGTTGCGTCACATACGCAATTGGGGAAAATATTTATCCTCGCCCAACGAAGGAAAGCTTCTCTCGATGACACAACGCTTCCTCGCCTAATGAGTTGTTGGCAAGCCCAAGTCAGTGGCTACTGAAAAATTGGTCTTTTCCAATAACCCCTCCGTCACCCGGCGAGGCAGACACGAAGGCTCCTTGCCCAGGCTTTTCACGGTGAGGCACACCAGAACAATAACTATTGTTGAATCTTTTGCATAACTCATGTGGCTCTCTCTTCTTAGTCTTATTTCTTTATTGATCCAACAATGCATCTTAGAGCTTTTATTCCTGCTCCAACAATGCTCAAATACCTACTAAATGAATGGAAAACTATCAAACGATACACTATGTACATAAAAGCACACTATACACAAACAAAACATATTTATACATAAATTTGGGTTATTCAACTAATATTAATAACAAAGAGTTGATAAGTTTAACAAAAAGTATATACAAAAATAACTACAATTTGCACTTATCAACTGATCTAGGAAAGTTGGTATACTTTCTAGGGATGGAGGTATTGTACTCTTAGAAAAGTATAATTTTGCACCAGTTGAAGTATGAACTTGAGCTTCTGAAGAGATTTTTGCTAATAAATTGTAAGCCTGCAACTACACCGGTTGAGATGAATCGCAAACTGGATTCAGACGTTGAGGGTGATGAAGTAGATGCTACAACTTTCAAACAATTGGTTGGCTCATTAAGATATCTTTTTAATACTAGACATGATATATGTTATGCAAGTGGAATGGTGAGTGTGTTTATAAACAAATCGAAGTGGTCACATTATTAAGTTGTTGTCATAATTCTGAGGTACATCAAAGGGATTCTGAGGTATGGAGTTTGTTCCCTTTTTGGTGTTCAAATTGATGCAGAACTGATATGCTATTCAGATTTGACAGAAGAAGTACTTTTGTATACTTCTTCAAGTGTCTAGGAAGAACAATTTCTTGGTGCTCCAAGAAGCAACCGGTGGGTGCATTGTCAACTTGTGGAGCTGAGTATATAGCAGATGCTCTGGTTGCGTGTTAAGATGCTTGGCTGATGAACTTGTTCCAGCATCTGAAGATAAAGGTTAACAAACCTGTAAATTTGGTGATTGACAAGAAATATGCTATAAGCCTTGCATGTGATGTATGGGAAAAGCAAGAACATTGACACGAAGTTCCACTTTCTGAGAAGTCAAGTCCAAAATGGAGTGTTAGAAGTTGCACAATGTAGCACCTAAAAGCAACTTGCAGATGTTCTAACAAAAGCTATTAAGACTGAATACTTTATCCGTTTGAGGGATGAAATTGGTATTGTAGAATTTTGTTTGCTGAATATTAATTAAGGGATGTTGTTAGATGTAATTCATATTCAAAAGTATTTGTGTTGATCAGAAGCAGAAGCTTCTGAGGTTACGCCCCATAAGTATGTTTAATTTCTGGGGTCCTAGTTACTATTATTAGCATAGCTATTAAATTTACTTTTGTAGAGGTTACGTGGTAGTTTACCTTGTGTATATAAGCAACTTTGTAACTAGGATTTTAGTAAGATTTTAAATTTTAAATTTCTTCCTCCATATATTGTTGTAGTATAGTCCTTTATTTCTCATTTTTTTCCATCTTAATTTTCATCTTCAACCTTTATTAATGATGGTTTTTGATGTATAGGTTTAATGTAGAAAATATTTTGCATAATATGCACAAAAGTGAGTATTATTATATCATAGAAAAATATATAAGATATATTTCATTTTGTTACAATTATATAGTTTATTTTCAATGTATGGACTCCTTTGATAATATCATAATTATATATCATAATAATAAAATATGATGGAAAGAAGGAATTATTTGAAAGGCATAGAAAATATATCAAGAAAATAATTATTTATTTTATTTTCAAATCTTTTCATAAAATTACAAAGAGTCAAATACCAAGTGGTAATGGTACCACCAACGAACAACCTGTGAATAAAAAAAATGAAAACAACCAAGTCATTATTTATATAATTTTAACATAACTACTAATAAATTCCACCAATTAAAAAGCCAAAAATAATTTTTTTATAAATAATTGTCACCTTTATAATTCATATGATAGAATACGCCATACTATTTTCTTAAGGACAATTCTTATTCTTGCCAGGTCCACCATAGTAAAAATAACTCCCCCAGTCAGGCACATCTCCTCCTGTTGTTACACTATAACAATTTGGGCTATCTGCATAATTCTGGAGATCTTTTGGCTGATTCCAGTGAGATTTTGAATCTAAAACTTGAATCCGGCTAAAATATGCAGCTTTCTGCAAACCCTCATCAGGAAAGTGTCCACTACCCATTTGGGTGGTAGAAGCTTCTGGATAATGTAGATTTACTATTTCTCCACCCCATTCAATCATAGTTGCAACACCTTTCAAGTTTGTGAATAAGGAGGATGGCCAATATCCAAGGATTTTATCCCCAAAACGAAGCCACCAATGTCCTGTTTTTACATCCTGCACATACAAAATATAAAGTATACCTCTAATTCAATGAATAATATAGTTAATTAACTAATGAAGTACTTAATCGATACACATATGATAAACCAGTTATTATTATGATAAAACATATAATGTAAGAAAACACCAAAAAAATCAAAAGAAACAACTAAACAAAATGAAAAATCTCAAATACATATGATAAACCAGTCATTAATCAAAGAATAAAAGGAGAGTAAATTAAAATAGATTCTCACTAGTAAGAATTTTATCTTGTAGAAGTTGCAGAATCAAAAATCACCTCTTTAGAATGAGCACAACTTATCCAATGAAAGAAAGGGATAAGTCCACGAGCTAAACAGATAGTGTAATATGATTATTTAGCTATAGTGCGTCAAAAAAAGACATTTCCAAAAGCATTTCCACCTTAGAGATAATTTTTTTTTAAAAGGCCAAAATGAAAATATATTAAAGATCAAAACAAGTGACTCCAGCACAAGGTGTATTCAAGATGATAAGAAAGAATTTGAAATTACAAAACAAAACTCCGGAAAAAAAAAAACGCAAAGCAGTCTATAACATAGTTGATAAGAAAGATAAATGGTTTAGCCTCATTAAAAGTAACATATTTTAACTTTAACCACCAATAAGATCGAAGCTTTACCCTTTCTGATAACACTTACTAACGCTCTTCTTTATTTTGAAAAGTACGAATGTTTCGCTCTTTCGAAATAATCTAAATCACATAGAGTCAAATAGTATTAAAAATCAAACAAACATTCTTCAAAAAACTACCTAGCCAACCAAATTGTAAGATATGATCCAATAGTTTTCGTTGAAATGCCGTTGAGAAACCTAGCAAATTTGAAATAATAGACCATAGTCTAAAAAAAAATCACATTTTATGAACAAATGATATATGTTTTCATTCAAGCCATAATTTGCCACACATCTTTGATCATTCGTAGCAAGAATATGCCGCTTAGCCAAATTTCCCTTCGTTGGAAAGCAATTCAAAATCAACCGCCATACAAAATTAGAAACCTTAAGAGGAACATTCTTCAACCACAAAATTTGGAAATTAGCCTTATTTTTGTTGTCAAAAAATTCAGATAAATTTATATCAACATTGTTGACTGAGTAGCAAGAAGATGGACGTAAATTCCAAACCCAACGATCTTCTACGTCAACTTGTAAAACAACTGAGGTTAAACATTCAATACACTCTACAACTAAATCCTCCTTCCACAAAAGTAACCTCTTACGCCACTTCCACGCCTCACCATTCCTCCCTCCCTAACTCGTTCATCTCTGCAACTGACGCCATCTTATTCTTTGTTAAATCAAACAACCTAATAAATCTTGCCTTCAAAGGAATACCATCAACCTAAGTGTCTTTCCAAAAAAAGAAGAAACCTCATCTCCTATCTGGAAATCAACATTATCGAGCAACCATCCTCCATCAAACGAACAAACACCCTCTCTTATATTTTTAAAATTCCCCCATCAAACAAATCTACCACCCTTCCCCCGAAACATGAACACCCTATTCCTCACCATACTGAGCACTCGATACCCTATAGCAAAGAATTTTTGTCTCATTCAGAATTCTTCAAAACCATTTATCAAGTAAGACTAACTTAAACTTCTTCAACCTCCTAACTCACAAATCACCATTATATTTTTTAAAACAAATATGATACCCAAGGATGTCTCGAAGAAGGAAGGAATGTAGACTAAAATGGATGACATAACATATATAATGAGAATCAAACGACCCCCTATAGAGTGAAAGCGACTCTTCCATCCCGACAACCTTCTTTTGACCCGATCAATCAGAGGTTTTCGAGAATTGAGCTTTGAAGAATCAACACCAATAGACAACCCCAAATATAAAAACGGTAGGCGACCGTACTTATAGTTGATAACCTACGTTGCCTCATGCAGCTAAGATTCAAAGACGTTGACCCCAAACAATATATTTTTATGAAAGTTAACTTTTTAATCTAATATCACTTCAAAAAGAATCAAAATCGCCTTCAAATCTTGCACATTAACCCAACTTTTAACTCCCACAGATACCACCACTTATCACTATATGAGGATAGAGGCATTCCTTGAATTACTAAATGTAGGTTAACAAAAAGAAATCTCATCTATTTTAGATTACAATGCATAACACTATCCTCCTATTAACCTAGCTCACCCACAGACTGATGAACCTTATGATCAATGATTCTAAAGAACATATGAAATCTAATCTTGCGGGATATGGACTCAAGCTAGAGGTCGATCCAAAAAGAAATGTGAAGACTACATCCTACTCTCTTACTAATACTATCTACAAATAATTAAAAATATGTGCTTTAAATCATTGAAGAGACAATTGTATTCAGAAAAGTAGACATAGAACAAAAACTTGTAGACCTTCCCCCTTATATTTAAGCTAGATGTAAATAAATAAATCCTAATATCAATTTTTTTTATAAAAGCAAAAGAAAAATGTTTTCAAAGTGTTAAAAAGAGATGCAAGAAAGAATTATATAGAATGAAAAAACAAAAGTATACCGTAAGAGATGTGGTTAAAAAAGGACAACAAAACATTAAAAATTAAATTATTAAAAAATAATTTTAAAAGTGAAAATACAAAGAAATTACAAAGCATTATACGAACAAAGTAGAAATTACCTTCCATACAGATAAGGAAATTTCAAACTGCTTTCCATTATATGTAGAAATTGGAGAAATTGCAGCTCCTAATGCAATAGCTTTGTTCGTTTGAACAAAGCCTGGGCATTTTAAGTTGTAACAACCAGTGTTTCCATATGCATCAGCCTGTAATAATAAATACCATTAAGTTTTTCAATAAAATTTCTATTGCACAATAGTATACATTTCCCATCTTTATTTCAATCAAATTACTTACCGTCCAAAAAGTGAAAAATCTAGTGCGTAGGTCCCCATATAATGCGCGACTTACCTATAAAAAAATCACATGAATTTAGTTTGAGAAATGCATTGACTAAAATGATACTCCATCCGTTAAAAGTTATAAGTGATTTTGTATTATTTGAATTGAGATATTAATGAAATAAACAATTACAGGATTGTTATGACACTATAAAAAAAAACTGTTTGCAACCCCGTGATATTTATGATGCAAACCTAAAAAAGCATGACAAAAAAACTAATTAGCGTTGTGGTAAAATTACGAGACATGAGCGTTTGTGGTAATTTTTTGTCACGTGATATTCACGATACAAATTTGTATTGTGATCAGAAGACAGATTTGCCACATGAATTTTACGCCACAAATTCGTGTCGTGAATATCACGAGGCAAATATTTAAACTGTGCAGAGTTTTTCAGATTCGGTCAGATTGTGAGATTTTGTGCCAGACAAATCACGTGTGCAAGATGCTTTATGTTTGCGTCCTGATTTATACGACATTAAAATATTTCAAAAAATTTGAATTTTCCACCACGTGAAGAAAGCTGAAAAGTTTGTTTGAGAATATTTATGATTTATGTTGCATCGTGATTTACACGATACAACATTTGTTTTTCAAAATTGTTTCTCTTATATCCACTTGAAAAGCTGAACAACAATTATTTTTTTAAATTTATAAGCTTTGTAGTGTTAATCACGACGCAGTTTTTTTTTTTTTCTCGTGTTATTCACGTGGATGGAGGAAGGATTTATTATAGTAAAAATAACATGAGAAAAATTAACATGCCTGCCAACCAACTTCAATGGAATTGAGGTCTTTTTCAAATGATCCAGACAAGATCCACATTTGAGCCAAGCTGAATCCGTTCTGATTTTCTAGATGTGGTGTCCACACATTCATAGTAGCCTGTGCTCCATAGAACTCTCCACCCTGCACATACCTAATTGCATGCTGCCGAAATAACAATAACAAATTTTGTTACTTCATTTTATAAAATAACATTAGAGAAAGTAATTAGAGAAATTATAATAGTAAATTAAATAAAAAAGGACAGAGAGGACTTATATAAGAAACAAAAACAATCTTACAAATTATAGAACTCATAGTAAATTTGCATGTTTCAAACTGAAGATCTCTAGAAAACAGAAAAAGAAAGAAATAGAGTAAAAAAATTGAGTTTATTGAATTTCATACTTGGTGCTTATGAATGTCTGTGATTGGAAATTTTCTTCCAAATCTACTATCAGATTTAGTTTTTAGTATGTCTCGTTCTGTTATTCTTCTAATTGGAATTGTTCCGTCTGGACATGATTCACCTGATAAACTCCACAGTTGAAAATTTTCACTGAAATTACCCATCTGATTATTCCCTTTTGGTATTTCTGGAGGATCCTAAATATAAAAAATATAAACAAAAAAATTTCCAATTATATATTTGAAATATATATTATTTTACTTAGCTTCTAGAGTTACTTCAATATTTTTCTTAAGTAAACTATCACAAAAAAGAAAAAAATACCATTGGTTTTTGTCCTTTCAATAAAGGATGATCAAAAGCTGGTTGTTCATGTGTCAAAACACAATCTATGATATCACCGTCAGGGCTCTGCGAGTGTACAAGATTAAACTAAATTATTTTCAAATTTATGATAAATTTAATGAGTAATTTGAAATATATAATAACTTGCTTGTACATTTTAAAAAATTATAACAAACTTTTTAAAATTTTAATGTAAAAAAGTATATGTGGTAACTGTAAATTTTGCATTGATAAAAATTAATGTCGAATGAAAGTCTTTCAATTTGACAAATCTAAAAATTTCAATATCCAAATAAAAAGAATATTTATAATAATTATTTTATATTATTTCAAATAATTTATTTTACCATACCTGAATTGTCTTAACTGCTGGCTTGTTGAGTTGCTTAAGACGAGTAGCTATGGTGTCCTTCAACTTATGAAGTTCATCCACCGATTGAAAAGTTTGATTAACAAATGGATTTTTTGTTTCTAGAGAATTATTAGAATGAAACAAAGAAACAAATACAAGGGAATGCAGAAAGATGCAGATGATTGGAGAGCTAAGATCCATGTTGGTTTTGTGTTTGTTTGTCAACAATTGTGATTGTCTTATATATATATATTAATGATCTAATATGATTTCTCTTTCTACAGTCCTTTTTATTTGTGATTTATATTATCTTTAAAAAATTAATTCAAATTATATTTTAGGAAACAAAATATTTGATTTATTGCCTTTTAAAAATAATGAAATCGGTGGAAGATAATTTTATAAATGATATATTTTATTTAATAATTAATATTTAGAAATGTATTTTCATACTATTCAAAAATCAAAATTAACTATATATAAGTTTAAAAAATATTTACTGCTAATATAATCATAAATATTTAATTTTATTGTTTTTAAAAAATAAAAGTATATTTTAATAATGCATGAATAAAAATAAAAATATAATTATATATAAATCCATAAATAATTAAAATTTTGAATTTTTTTGTTGAAATAACCAGGTATTAAAAAAATCACAAATAACTATGTTTCGGAGAAAATTACGCAAATAACCATTTTCAGAAAATCAAACAAGGGAGGAGCCAACTCAGTTGGTGCATCCACTCTCCATTTAGCCCTAGGCGTCATCCAACTTGGCGCCTCCTCTCTCTTTTAGCCAAGTGAGATGGCGCATGCACTTTAAAAGTGAGAGGAGGCGCCATCTCACTTGGCTCCTAGGGCAAAATGCAATTTTTATAAATAATTCGTCTGTTTCTCCGTCATTCCTCACATTTTCTCGCACTGTTCTATTAGTATTTCTATTTCAGTATTTTATTCTGATTTTCACATTCCTATTTATAAGAAAATTTTAACTTTTTAGGTTATTGAATAATTGATGTATCTAACCAATATATAATCTAAATACATCATTTATTTAATAAATCTAAAAAGTCAAAATTTTCTTATAAAAGAGAATGGAGGGAATATATATATATATATATATATATATATATATATGGGTGTTCAGATCCAATCCGATAAAAAAAAAATCCAAAAATCGAACCGAAAAAATCGAAATCCAAAAAAAACCGAATTTTTTTGGATGTATTTGGATCACCATGTAGCATAACCGACCGGTTCGGTTTACGATTGGCTTCATGAGAACCGAACCGGTATTACTTCCATTTACTTGAAATTTTATTATTATATTCGCTTTAATATAGCTTTGGAATCTTCATTTGTTCACTGTTTTATATATTTGTCATATATTTAATTTATAATACAAATCTCCATATAAGAACTAAGCATATCTCCATATATATTATATATTATAGCCATGTCTATTTCGTTGGGATAGATATTATACATATATTATAATGAAACTTTGCAATAATGACATCAAATAGCCATATGAACATAGCAATTAGATATTGTCTCAGTAGACGTTGGTGGCATAATTGTAACTGGTATTGAAATATATTCTTTTTAAATTTCTAAATAGTGTTGGTTTAAAAACCGAATAAAACCGATTCAACCGAACCGAAGTAAACCGTATAAATTTGATTGGATTGGATTGAATTTTTCTTGTTGTCATCCAAAAACCGAACCAAACCGTATGCTTTATATATTTTTGGATCGGATGATATTTTGTCTCAAAACCGATCCTAACCGGACCACGAACACCCCTATATATATATATATATATATATATATATATATATATATATATATATATATATATATATATATATATATATATATATATATATATATATATATATATATATATATATATATATATATATATATATATATATATATATATATATATATATATATATATATTAGATCAATATAAAACTAATTCAAAAGACTATAAAGAAAATAAAAAAAAGTTTTTTATCTAAAATAATATAAATATAGAATGTTGAATTTATTACCTAAAATTATTTACATGATAAATGTTAAAATTTTCAAATGAGAATACTTGATTATTATGAGAAATGTTGAATGTTGAATACTTGAATTTATGATTCTCATAATAATCAAGTATTCTCATTTGAAAATTATTTACCTAAAAAGTATTCTTATAAACTATTAGTATTTCTATTTCAGTATTTTATTCTGATTTTCACATTGTGTTTAATTTAAAAGTTTTGATTTTATTTTATTTTTTTTCTGTATATTTTTGTTTGAAGATGATTTTGTAAATTAATCATTTTATTTATTATGAATTTTTTACGTCAAATGTTTATTTATTATTTCTTGAGATAATTTACCAATTTCTTAAAAAAATTAAAAAATGTTTTTTATCTTCTTAATCGTAATCTAAAAAGTCACAAAGTTCATTATTTTCTATTAAATCTTGACTTTTATTGTAAATCCACCATAATACATAATTTCAACTAATAAAGTATAATATATATAGTATTTTCTATTGCATAATCTATTTCGTTTTTAAAAATTATAGTTTCGTCATATTATTTTATGTCTTTATATATTTTTATTTATATATTACTTGATAAGTTAAGTTTCCATATAGATCTTAGATAAATTATTTGGTAAGCTAAGTTTCCATATATTTCAAGCATATTTTATTATATCAAGTAAATATAACAATTTTTGTGATTAAGTATATATTATTGTCTCAATTATAAACACAGTAAATTATTATAATTTATGTAGCATGTTTCTTAAAAATAAATTTTTAATATAATTAAAATTCAATACAAAAGGAATAAAAACTAAGATGCAATAGTAAAATATTTTTTCTTAGTAGTAAATGAAGTTCAGTATTGTGGTGGCATTTATCTTACGCTTAAGTTTTATTTAGTTGGAATTTTCCATTTTATAATCAATATTTAAACTAAAGTTGCATTCGATTTTCAGTGAAATAGAATTTGCAACTGCTTTTCGCTTAGAGCAAAGTTAATTAGAATTCTCTCTCTCTCTCTCTCTCTCTCTCTCTCTCTCTCTCTCTCTCTCTCTCTCTCTCTGTCTCTCTCTCTCTCATCTTCATCTTTTCCATTTTTGTGCATCAATAATTGATATCTAAAATTCTGATTCTAATTTAGGAAAGGAAAACACTAATGTACGTAAGGTGTGTGATTGATTTTATTTCTGAAATTCACATTGAATTGAAGTTTGAAATCAAACAAAATCACTTTTATTTATTCTGAGGGATTGGGAAATCCGAAGATCGAAGATAAAAGATGCAAATGGATTCTTGAACACAAAGCTTCTAGTATTCGATGAAAAGAACTGGAAATAGTGGATGATTCAGATGTTTGTATTGTGTGGAGTTTAATATGTTCTTGATCTTGTCAATGACAATTACTTGCCAGTTGCAACAGATGCAACAGAAGTGCAAACAAAACGCGCAAAGAGAAATGAAGAAGAAAGATCAGAAAATATTGTTCTATATCCGTCAATGTGTGGATATGTGTGTGTTTGGGAAGATTGTTGACACCACAATGATGAAGACGACATGTGATAGTGTAGTGTTATGATGGCATCGCCTCAGTGAAGAAGGTGAAGTTGCAATCCCTGCGTAAGCAATATGAGAATTTTTCAGCATGAAAGACTATGAAAAGGTACTAGATAATATCTCCAGAGTGATTGTGGTCACTAAAGAGATGAAGGCTTATAGAGAACTGCTCTCAGAACAAGTTATTATTGAGAAGGTACTGAGATCTCTTACTCATATGTTTGATTAAACAGCTGTAGCTAGTGAACATTTTAAAGACACCGCCATTATGAGAATTGAAGAACTTCAGAGTAGTTTAGAGGCTCAAGAGTTGCGTTTGGCTGGGAGAAACTCTGAAAGTGAGTCTGTGTATGATCTGAAAGCTTCTTTAGTCAAGAAGAACAAGAAGCAAGCATATTCTGATAAAAAGAAAAATCTGGTGGCACTCAGATGTTTGAATTTTCCAATCTTGATGAGAAGAAACATAAGAATGCTTATATGGGAAAGGAGAAGCTTGATAAGAGAGAGATTCAGTGTTACAATTGCAATAGGTTTGGCCACTTTGCTGCATATTGTTGGTCAATGTTGAAACTGTTGATTCTCAATCCCTTAGTGCAACAGGTGTTATAAAGGAAAGTGAGTTATGACACAAGAGATTGGGACATTTTAAATTTAGAAGCTTAGGGCATCTCAGTTTAAAGAATCGGGTTCATGGAATTCCTAAAACTAAACAAATATGGTAAACATCCACTCAAACAACATAGTATTTATAACCACAAGAGGATAAAATTTAACTATCATATTAACATAACATAATTAATAAGCCTCATTCACCCCGTCCAGTGTTACAGATCATAGTACATAATCTAAATATGCAAAACAAAAATAAAAGAAGAACAATCTCGTGTCACCCTCCACTCTGAGCAGCTACCAGTTACCTGCTTATTTGTACTCCAAAGAGGAGAAAAGACCACAAAAACAACAAAGGAGTGAGAAATAACATTAATAAAGTAAACGATACATACCACAAGGTATGGTATCAACACATACATATTCTACATGTAATTGCATACATCGTTGCACAATACATTCTCACATCTAACTCCACACATCACACACCAAAAAAGACATTATGCGTACGACACATTTATGTGATACAACTCAAGTACACAACTTGATGCATATGCATGTAATATCAACTCAACATTTAGTTTTCTCAGGAATCAGGTCCCATCTCTGAACTCATCAAACCCCCCTCTCTGAGCTCCAAACCCTCTCTTTGAGCTTGGACAAGCCACTAGTCCCTTCTCTAAACTAGAGAACATGACTCTTGACATAACTCAAATGATGCATACAATAAGCATCAATTACACATACTATTATTATCCATTCATCCTCTGAGAACATTTCCTTTTGGTGGTAATCAGAGAACCAATCTATTATTATCCATTCATCTATTATTGTCGCAAACAATATATTTTTCTAGACTACTTTTATGTGATTTTTCAAAAAAAAAGTGAGAGACAGTCGATTGGTCTCATGGTGTCAACATTGGTCTATGTTTTCGTACCAAAATTTGTTAAATTTTCAAAATAGACAATTGATTGTTTCC